TACTGATTATTAACCAGGCCAATCTCAACCAAAATTTGTATGTAAACACAATGAACTATGGGGAATGTCCTAAGGTGGTCAAAATTGAACTTAACCCTATTTCTGTTTTGTTAAAGCCTGTTGGTTAATTACTACCCGGCCTGGCATATCCAGGTGGTGTTAGGGCACTTGACTCTCAATCTGCAGGTCGTGGGTTCGAATCCCCATCCCACCAAACATGCTCACCCTTTCAGTCGTGGGAGTATTATGATGTGATGGTCAATCCCACTATTTGTTGGTAAAAGTTTAGCCCAAGAGTTGGTGGTGGGCGGTGATGACTAGCTGCCTTCCCTCGTGTAACTTTGCGTGAAATTCACAAACAAACAAATAATTTTTTTCCACCCTGTTGAATCAATCTCAAACAATTTTGGCAGGTTGATGCTGTAGACAATGTTGAATATTCTAAAGGGATTCATTTTCAAAGTATGAAAGTTGCTGGATTGTTTCAAACAACCATGCTTTTCTCATGGTCAATGATATGTAGGGTGTTCAAGTGTGGGATCACCTCAAAATCTTTATTTGTTGGTAGATGGAACGCAGTCTGCAAATGTTGTTTATGAAGAAGCCTTGTTATAATTTTAAAATGTTGAGATAGCTTATGTTCAATTTTTACTTTTAAATATATGAATGCTTTAACTATACATTGTTTTAATTAAGTTTAGACATCCCCCATTAGTTGATGGGTATTTTGACTTGTGTTTTAGATTAAATATTTTTAAATATTTTTTTAAACATTTGGATACTTACAATAACTTGTGGTATCATATACAGATGAAAAGCATAAGATCTCTTCTTTATAGATTATCATACAGTTTGTGTTTATGTATTGTGTAAATTATTGTTGTTTGATTATAAGGTTTTAAAATGAATGTGATCTATATTTGTTTAGGAAGAAGATGAACTTGATGGGATTGAACCTCTTGAAAATGACAATGATTTTCAGGATGAAAATGTAACATTTGCTTCTATGAAAACTGCTGACTTGACAAATAAAATTTCACAATATGCCTCTACTCCTTTTTCACTTGGTCGAGCTCCACCACTTTTTACTGATGATATCACAACCTCTCTAGCAAAACTTGCAGTTCAGCCACAAGAAACCAAGAAAAAAATAGAATTACCCATGAAGCCTCCACTTCCAGTAATCCCTGCTCCTTCTACAAGTACAGCTAATGAGATACAGGAAAACTGTAATCAAGGAGACTTAAGGTAAACATCTGCTTTTTTGTTGTTTTTAAGCTATAGAAGAATAGAAGGTTTGATAGAACTTATTTTCAATTGAGTACATTATATGAGAGATGTATATTCTTTGTATAGATTATTTTTTCTTCAAAATAAAACAAATTATACTTTTCTTGGCTAAATTTAAAGGAGAGATTTTACCTGTCCCTCGACCCCCTGTAATATGTAGTTGATAGAACCATGAAGTTCATTTGTTTTTGAAACTTGTATTCACTTTGTTTCCTGTGTAGAGATAGACAAAAATGTTACATGTAAATCATCTTCTACATTCTTAACCTTGTTATGTCTTGGGTGGGATTTTAGCCCTATAATGGAGTGTAGCCGAGAATTTTGTAGTAGCAAATCTTCAACAAGCAGCTCCTCGGGATGTTCAACTACATTTGGTTCTACCTATCATAATAGCCGCTACCACCTTTCCTCTTTGCACAAGTCACGTAATGATCATCAGTCAAAGATCAACCTTGCAAGACCTACTGTTTCTAATATAACAGCAAGTAAAAGGTAATAGTAATTGCTACTTTTAAACGTGTGCATTTATAAATATTTTTTTATAAGTGAGACTGTTTTGTTTTGTATGTGGATTTGATTACATTGTTAGTATAAAATATATTAAAAGTGTGCTTCTCAAGATCATAACTTTCCTCCAAATGCAGATTAGCCATCTTCGTGTGTCTGCTTAAAAGACTTGTATGCCACTATCCCAGTTTGCAGCCTCTGGTAATAGTTTTCTGTGGGCAGATGGGTTTTCCAAGTCCTCACCCACACACTGTCTTTCCACGTCTCTTCTCCATCTCTCTTTCTTTTTGCCCATTTTATCCTCTCCTCCCTTCAATCCTGGACAAACACACCATTGAGAGGGTATATTGACCCTTTTCTATGTTGTAATTTGCATCTCTTGTTGTTCCCAGGAAGACTGAGGACTAAAGTCTGGTAATTAACTTCCCCTTTTTCAGATGATTTCTGGTCATTCCTTGCTCTTGGTTGGAAAATTTATCTCCAATGGTCTTTTTTGCTGTGACTAGATGTTCAAGGTTGATGTTTTGGACCCATTCCTTCACATCCTGATTGCACTGTCCTCCAGGTGTTTTATGTGCTTTGTCCACCAGAATTGTAACTTCTTGTTCCTTGCACTTCTTTATGGCTTTGTGTCAGCCCCTTAGGTATTCATTCAGCCATGTTGAGAGCTTTTGCTCGCTTTACAGACTGGGTCTATAGTTCCAATTTTATATAGATCATTGGCTTCTTTTGATTAATTTTCAGGAGGCTGCTTGTTTGGGGTGTCTTATCAAGATATCCAAATCCTTTCTTACACCCAACCAATATCTTGTACACCTGAAAGTTTTTCCACTCTCATTTCTGCTGAGTTCAGCCTTCTCCCCTTTGGCTGCAAGCTATAGAGTGTCTGATCACCATGAGAGGTTCTTTCTCTTTTAGTGACTCTGGTTTCCCTGAAATCACTCGTTCCCTTTGGTCACCAACACGTACCTCCTCAACTGAAGGAACTGTCTTGGTGACTGGACTGTTCCAACGTGTGTATGGATCATGTGTATGCATGTATGTGTTCTTCTCTTAATGAGAAATTGCATTTCCAGCTTTAATAATATTTCATTAGTATTATATTTTAGCAGATTGTAATTTATTTTTTAAGTTTAACACACTTATTGTAATTGTCGTGTGCGTGCTTGCATACATGCTTGCTCAAAGCTAACCATAATATATTAATCTACAACTTTACACTTGAATGCTAAAAAGTTAATTTTGATGATGGAAGAGTACAAGATTGCAATTCTTTGTATGTTCTAAATGCCTAAATTTGCATTTCAACACACACTGAAAAATGGTTTAAATGAAAATAAGACAAATTACATATACACATAAATAACATTAAAAAAAATAGCAAAAGCATTATGTTAAGAATAATATTATTGGTAGTAGATTTTAATGGAAAGGACCAGAATTGTGTTGCTGCTTTCCTTTTTCAATACAGAGAAAGAAACTTGAAACATTTCTAGTTTATTTCTAAACATAACCACTTTTCTAGGCAAGCTCAAGATACTGTTCAGGTTGATATAAAACCTCCATCTGGATCTCTGGAAAACACTGTTCTTCCTGATGAACAAATAAAATTTGTCCAAGTTGACCCTTATGATCCAAAACTACAAGAACAACTCCTACAGGAAGTAGATCCACCTTTAGCCATGAGACGAGGATATGTGGCTAAAAATGAGAAACTACCTATTTTGTTATCTGATGCACCTCTAAATTTGGGTAAGTGTAAACTCAAAATACATTAAGCTTACTGTCTGATTAGTTTTATACTTAAGCAAATCATTAAAGAACAATATTGTAACTTTTTTTTACTATTAATGTCAAAACTATGATTAAAACTGCAATTATTTTTGCATGGAACAGAAGTAGGCCGTTTTTACTCTTCTCTGGACAATTATATGCCATATTTTCACTCCAGCACACACCAAGAAATAGTTTAAATCAAAAAATGGAGGGGGGAAAAAAAGAAAAGTACTATATAACGCAAGTAACATTTACAAAAGCAAGTGCAATGCAGTGTAGAATACTCTTGTTCGTTGTCATGTATAAAATACAATAAATACTTGTATGCTTTTTATTTAAACAACTGTTTAATGTGGATTTGAAAACGCACTAACTGCTAGATTCAAAGTTTGTGGGCATTGAAGCGACACACTTGTTGTAGCACATGCTAAAGTCAACATTTATTTCTCATCCAACCTAACAATTGTGATGTTGGGACTTTTTTTTAAAGGTCTTGGGAAGGATATTTAGAATAAGATTCAGACTAGTTATATGGTAATTTTGTCTTTGTGTAAACAGTTAATTTGAGAACTATTCTGCTAATAAAACATATTAATTTAAATATTACTAATATTTATAAAATTCTTGTTAATTTTGATTTCAGGAATGAATACATACCATGTAACAAAGCAGTGTGCAATGGGAGCATATGCAAGAATATTTAAAGCAGTGTTACTGGGTTGTGACAGTGATGATGTTTATGATTTAAGAGAAGATGAATTTACAAGCAGTTCATCCAATCCAAAAACAGCTGCTCTAAAGGTCAGCAAGCCAAGCTGTGAATGGGAGTTTTATATCTGCACTGAGTTGGAGTCAAGACTGGGTAAACATGTTGGTGTTCCTGATGTGGTAAGTTTTTTCTGTGATACAAGTTACAACAACTTTGGGTGCAGTCTATTGTTTATTTTTATTCATGAAATAAAATAAAGCCTAAGAAATCATTCAAGTAATATTAACACCCTTTTTTTTTTTACTGACCTCCTAAGTAGGCTGAAAGTGTCTTATATTTAGTGTTCCTCCTCCACTCTAGTGTTTCACCACACTTTCATTTGCATAAGCCACTTTCTTACTTTAAAAAAATCTAGATAATTTATTGTGGACAAAACAAATAATATAGTCTAGTTTGGTAGATATTTTGTTATAACACTGTTTATAAACTTAGCAGTTAAAATTAATGTGAATATTACAGTGTTATGGTTTTTATTATATTTTTTTCTCATTGTAACAGGTTGGCTCATAATTTAGTAATGCAAGTGTTGGATAATGTTAAAGTTGACAAAATACCAACAGTTTTAGTTTAGAAAGTGTTATTGAACAGTAAAAGATTGCAATTTAAAAAAAACACTTAGTCATTAAATGCATCTGTAAAAAATCTATCATATATAATTTTTTTTTTTATCTAACTTATAACTAGTTCTTTTATATTTTGAAATGATCCCACAAGTTTCACTAATTTGTAATTTATTACTTTTAGCCTACAAAGTACAAAAAACAACTTAAACTTTTAATATCTTACTGAATTTTTCTGATGTTGTTGTTGTCCTTTGGTTTTACTCTTATTAAAACAGTCATAATTTTTTGAGGTTTTATGTAATTATTTGTTTTTAAACATGAAACTGTATATTTTACAGAGATCCTCTGTTATGACTATCAACACTGCTATGTTTTTCACCAATGGCAGTATCTTTGTGAATGATTTTTGTAAATATGGTACCTTACTGGTAAGTAAATCTTTATATGAATAAAACATCTCTGTACACAAGTTTAAAATAAACTGTACCATAGAAATTTTTATAACATACACAAAACTGAGTAGGCACATTTTAACAAAGTAAAATATTTCTCTGATTGCTTAACAATTTGGTTTTAAGAAGTGTGGATGCACAAAAAGTCTGCAGTAAAGGTATATAATGCTACAGACCCATTGGACTTTAACTACCCATAGCTAATTTTATGCTATCCATCACTTCAACAATGAGATTTGCCCAGATTATCATGGCAATTAATGACTATCCAAAAGTTTTTTTTGTTTTTTTTCTCATTTACATAGTGCTTGCTGTTTCTCATATCAGTTAAGTATAACTATTATGTTTTAGTAGTTGTGAACTTAAACAATTGTTTATCCAGAGATGCCAACAATTCCAACTTCTTAACTCCAGATTTTGTAGTTATATTTATAACCTTTAAGTTTTGATATTGTGTTAAATGATCTGATAACTCATTTTGGGACTGGTCAAATGAGAATCACACTATCAAGATTGTAATAATTTAAGCATTTGCCCTTCTGCAGCTGTACTCAAACCATACTCTAAGGCTTTTGTAGCTCAAAATATATAAATATTTTTGAATCAGAATCTGGGAAAAATTAAGAGGTATGTTTCTTCTATTACTATACATTTAAATCATATAAAACTTTAGTTTTATTATGCACTACTAGGGGGCAAACATTATTTTTATTTTTGTCCGTTTTTTTTCTCTTTCTCTTTTATGCCATGTTGTTAACTGTGTGACTGCATGATGGATGTTTCATCATGCTGGGTTTCTTGAAATGAAGAGATAATGCTGGTCATGGCAGTAGTGTGAGGAAAGATATTCTTTAAAGAGACCATATGAACAGTGGATATGGGAAAACTGACATTTCTGGACAGTGCTTTTGTCTATTATGCAACTTGCTGTCTTAATTTCAAAAGCAATAGCAAAAACGTGCTTTGTAATAACCATATGCAAGACAAGCAGCCTGTCTAGTTATTCTTGGAAATTGAAAAGAAATAGACAAAGACAAATTATGGGTAAATTTACTACTTAAAAAAAAAATACCCATAAAAATAATATAAAGATAATATCAACAATTACAATGTAACAAAGTGCATCTAAATAAATAACCAGTGTATCAAAACACAACCCTAACACTCAAATACCACAAATAGAAGAGATAAAAATGGCAAAATAACGAGTATTAGGTAAGTTTCATTAGCTAAAGATATCCACAAAGTAAACAAATATTAAATAAAAAAGTCAACCAAAACAATTACAAATGGTGTCTTAATATAAAACGTTTGCCAAAGCAGGGGAATTGTATAAATTTAGGTCTCAATATACCATCTATTGGTGACAGGAAGTTTGCTGCAAAAATCAGATTATTCCTATTTTTCTGCTCGGATTTTTATTTTACTTTTTCAATTTTTTTTATCATGGTTAGCATTCCTATTTTATATCAAGTATATTTGGCAAGAAAAAAGAGCAGTTATTTGTGTGTGTATATATAGATATATATTTGTTTTTATGTGTGCATACTAGACACAAGATCCTGGTTATTGGTTAATCTTACTGATTAAGTATATTATGAAAGTTAATCTAGTATTTTGTGGGGATTGCCACAACCTTTCTTGTTTCATTTTGTTGTTGTATGGCTTATTGATCATTCAGTGTTATATTTATTGAAGTTCATATGTGACATAACTTGTAGTATACCATATACATTGAATCTCTAGGATTTGACAAACTTCTACAAGAAGCAGGGACAGACAGTACCAGAGTCTTTAGTCATGTACCTCACTCTTGAGATGTTACTCATCATGGATCAGGTCCACAGATCTAACATTGTACATGGAGATGTAAAACCCGACAACTTTATGGTACTTGACTTGTAAGTAGATTGTTTTTTGTAGCTAAGTAATTAGAACAATACAGCATGTTTTAAGTGTGGCATATTAATAACTTGTGTGGGCATGTGTAGTCTAATTGTTACTTTTATATAGGAAAATAAAAATAAATTCCAAGTTTAAAGATTTTATTTAATACTAAACTAAATACTATACTCAGGGCCCAGAATTTAATTCAATTATGTGGCTGGCATTTTTTACATAATTTAAATGTAACTGCATATAGTGTAGCTGAATTGTTGTAAGATGTGTATAATAAAGATTGGTAGGGGGCACATATGGAATCCTGAAAGTAAGATCAGTATAAAAGTTAAGTCAAAAATAGCTTTTAGTGGCATTGAGCTTGCTGGAGAAGAAACATTTAGGATGTTGTAATGTGTGATTTTGATAATGTTGTAGTATGTGAATTTCTCAAGTTTCGGTATGTATAGCTGAATATAAAAAGCTCATTGTCTTCCTGTACAGTCTAGAGCCTTGGTCAGCATTCAAAACAAAATACCAGTTAATATGATATCCAGCAATTGTTAGAATGTTAAAATATGGCTAGAGGTTATATATCTGATTTGGCTTTTGTGGCTGTAGTTCAGCTGAAGAAGAAATCACACTTATTTCAATATATAGATCTGTAGAATTAATGGAATCCATTAACCTTCTCAAACTCTTCAACGTGCATGTATTTTACATAAAAAACCACTAAAGCAACTCTTAAAAGACATCAGTTTTAATGTCAGAAGCTTTTCTACTCAAATTTTACACCTTGATTCTTAGAATTAAACTAACCACACAAATAAATATTTTTGAGCTCCAACTTCAGAAGAAAGGATGCATAGTAAAATTATCTATAAACTAGAAATTTTGTACCAGCAGCTACAGAATGCAAAGATGTAGATAAAATTCTCCAGTATCAGAAGTCTTTGGAAGTTTAAAACAAACTCGTTTTTTTTTGCAAAGAACCTCTTGAACTACAAACATAATTAACAAAGAAAATTCATAAAAGGTGAAAAATAATATATTACTATGACTTGTAGTCAGATTAGTGAGAAATTGTTTATATTGTTCACCAGGATTCAGAATAGGAAAGCTAGTAAAAAAAATAAAGCAACTTTTTTGCATTGAAATGTTACTGATCAGGGAAAAAAGAACTGAAATCAATAAGCTGTGGGTGATCCCTTTCCATCATTACTATCAGTGCAGAGTTTAAAAAATCTTCAGCCTTACAATAATTTCAGTTTACCTGTGTCAATAGCTTTTCAGAGCTCAAACTCCTTTGGTCTGTAGGACAGATACGGTTATAAATCCTACCACAACTTGTGTATACTGACCTTCTGAAGATGTGCCATTTTAAATTATCCCTAAATTATAATAAATGAATGAAATTTGTTACACTATTTTAAACACTTTACATTTTTAAATTGTAGAAAAAATTAAAATTCTCAACAAAAACTTGAACTTCCACGGGTACATTTATTTGCCTAACTTAACTTTATGGAATTAGCTTCTTTTCAACAATAAGATCATGCCTATACAGTTACATAACTAAGCTATTTGTTGTTTTCAACAAATCTTGGACTTTCTTACAAATTTTTATTTTAAGTAATCTTATTGAGTGGAAAAGATGTAAGAAAATAGAGCAATGGGAACTGGGGTGATATTGTCAATTCAGCTACAAGGTTATTTGTAATTATTATGAATACTTAATGTTTGTACTACTGCTTCAATCATTTGCAGCAACAAGGTACAACATCAACTTGAGGAAACCAGTCTAAGGAAAACTACAGCCCTTCGTATTATTGATTTTGGCAGAGGAATAGACTTAAACCTCTTTCCTCCAGGTACAACATTTACAATCAGAGTTAACACGGAAGGTTTCCAGTGCGTAGAGATGAAAGAAAATAGACCATGGACTTTTCAGGTAACTCTTTATATTGTTACTTGAGTAAGGAAGCACATTATGATAATATAATAATAGGGAGGCAAACAATATGGTGAACCTAGAAGGAAAATCAATTAATTGAATAGCTTAACAAATTTTCTGTGATACTTTATAACTAAATTAGCTCTAAATTTCATTTAAAAATGTAAATAACTCCCAGTAAATAAATAACTTTGGTATTTTATCATTAGAACAAATGCTGATAATGCTCACATTTACATAGTTTTTGCAATTACCAGTTTGATAGGTTTTTAAGTGTGAAAGAAGTTATGGTTTCAAACTTAATTTTTCTTTCAGACTGACTGGTATGGTGTTCTGGGAAGTGTCCACACTTTGCTGTTTGGTGAGTACATGAATGTCCAGAAAGCTAAGAATGGAGTTTGGTCAATCATTAAAAAATTTAAAAGGTAGGTTGGATTCACTAATTTATTTTCTATATATATATTTAAACCATTGTCATAAGTAATTGTGTGGGCTACTAAGTAAGTCTAGTTATCGATTAGTTACTATTATATTTTATTTTTAATTACTAGACACTATTTACTAACTAGATTTTATCCTGTGTTTTGGCAGCTATCTTCACTATTTCTAAGATGGTAGTGGATAACACATCAGCTTTTCTATTGAGAATCTAGGATTAAATCCTGGCCACTGCCACCACAGAAATAGTACCTTTCAGGAAAAAAATCTAGTTAGTAAATAATACCATGTAATTAGAAGAAAAAAAGGTAGCTAATTAATAAATACAAATATGTGATAATATAGGCTACTAATCATGTCCTGGCCACTACCTCCTATAACTTGCTATTTTCTACTTGTACGTTGCAATAAGTTAGTTCAACTGTAAGTTCATTATATCCATTTAATTTTTATGAAAGGGATAAAATTCTGTTAATACAACATATATTCTTGGTAGGTATTGGCAAACAGATTTGTGGGAAGAATTGTTCACTACATTCCTTAATATCCCTTCCTGTGACAAGATTCCCAGCATAGATCCTTTTGTTGAAAGTATTCTACGAAAGTTATCGGAACCAAGTAGACGAACTGAACTTCTGTTCAAATTACAACAGTTTACTTGCTTGTGGGAAGGTTAGTGGTTTTCAATCGGAAACTTTTATGGACGTGATGAAATGGGCGAATGGTGTAAAGTGACTGACAGATCTTGACTATGGGAACAAACCTTTGCTTGTGAAATTAGTACTTGTTGTTTTTGTCTTTTATTATGTGTTGTAATTTAGAAAGTCCCTTTCCTAGTGCATATTTAATGATTTTTTATAGACAGTTATATTTTATCCATACACTGTAAGAACCAACTATTTGAGAGTTTGTACATATATATTTTAAAACTAGTTTTGATTAAAAAAAAAAAAAAAGCATGAATTATTACATTGGTGTGAAAGTGGTGTCATTATTGGAAAACGTTTTTTTAATGTTGTATCACTCCTCTGCATTAAAAAATGATTCAAGTATGATAGTGTATATAGCTGCTCTATGTAAGTCAGTTTCAGAAATTGCTCAATTTTTTTAAAATCTTAAATTATCTTTTACCAAAACTACTGTCATGAATGTAGTTTGATTATTTCAACTTGTTGATAAATCAGTTTTCACAAGAAACATAAAGATGTTTAAAAATATAAAACTAAGAGCTTTTGCACAGAGTAAATCAACACGATACAGATTTAGAAGTTGAGTTATATGAGGGTGTAGGACTGTGTATCTTTCTAATTAGTGACAAAAGTATAGATGAATATCAGCACTAAATAGTCTACTGCAGTGGTTCTTAAACTGGGATCCATGAAACAATGTCGGGTCCTCAGCACGTGTAGAAACATTCTCTGTTAAACTTCCTTTGCATTGGACAAAGCAATAATGTATTTATTACAATATTGTTCAAAGCCCAAATAACAATGAAAGTAAGATGCCTGAGTGATTATTTCTTAATTTTCATTAAACCATTAGATGTGTGTATCAGATATCAAGAGTATTTTAAGGCTTAAAAATTGTTAATTTGTTAGAATTGGTAAATGTCTTGAAGGTGCTGTATGAGGTAGTGCACAAATGTATTTGAACCCCTCATTGCTCCTCTAGTTTTGTTTTACCTAAGAAGTAAAGCAACTGTATTTTAAACTGCTAAACAAAAATATAAAAAAGCATCAAAATAAGCAAGTGAATCATTTTTTCACTATCTATGACTTAATATACTACACATTAAATTACTTTACAATTTTTAGAAAAATTGAAAATCAACGCAGGTACAAATGATTAAGTGCAGGAGGTTTTTTAAAAGTTGCTCAAGATGTCTAATCTAAATACAAAATGAAGAAACATTGTCACAGAACAAAAGTTTGAGATCTTAATATTGTTTTTCCTTTTATTTTTTTGTCTGTGTTTATATATAAGGGATGCCCCACCCCCCTCAAACATTGTACATGTTATATTAGGCCTCCACAAATCCCAGGTGCCAACTCACCATGGCAACTACATGACGCCTAGTATTTTCTTTCATTTATTTGAGTGTAGGATTGTACTAAAAGAACTTGAATCTATAACAGTTCTGGACTCTTGGAAGTCCAGAATTATTTTTGCATTCTCTGACTCCTAAATCAAATATTGTTTCTAGAATTTTAATGGTGGATTCAGCATTTTGATGTTTTTTTAGGAATAAAGTTCTGTGGTTGTACAACATGTCGCTGATTTCGCATCATTTTGTTTTTCTTTTTTATCTAAATTCAACCAATCTGTGTGTGTGTGTGTTCAGACTCTGATGTGACCAAAGGCAGTTAGTTCAGACAATACTATCAAGTGGTTGTTGATATCATGTGATCATTGGCATGCACTCATTGCTGTAAAAGTAAATAGATATACGCTGATGCCTCGATTATTTGTTCTGGTCTGGGGAAAGCAAAAAATCGTGTATAACAGAAACAGCGGATGATAGAGGCACTCATGTATCTCTCTAGTTAGCCCATTGTTTAATCACATTAACATAAAATTATAAAAGTCGTCATCATAAAAGCCAAGCGTCAGTCAGTCAATGAGTCACTACTGGTTTCTCCAAATTTCGTGAGTTACACAAGTCCAATTCCACTTTTTCTCGTATAATACTTCCTCTTCAGATTACCCATTCCCATTTTAGTTTAATTTAATTGCCAACAGAGGTGTAAATAGCTCCTAAATTTTAGCACTTTTTCTGCTATAGATATGGAAGTGCATTTGCACCCTATCAATGCCTCTGAAAAATAAGTAAAAAATTAGCGTGAGCCTGTACATCAAAATTATTACAAAAAAAGCCTTTGTTAAAACAGACTGAGGATACCAATTATTTGTAGGGAAGAGGAGAATGTGTAACCCAACGCAACTAGAACATGCATCTGTGGTTATAGGACACCCGCTGTGCAGCACACAACAGTGGACGACAACTGAAGTTGAGCAAAATCTTTAAGAAATTTTAATGTGTGTGTTTTTATAATTGTGTATTTTAATCACTAATCAAATAAAGCTAACCAAGCTACAAATATCTTGTATTCATGTCTTAATGGCTAAAAAGAAAAGAGGCAAGGCTAGGCTTAAACCAGCAAACTTACAATTTGAACATGTGCCAGATCCTGCATGTGAAAACCTTGTATATTGTGTGACACCTGAACTTTTGCAACCAAAATTAATATCTGAGTGACAGTTTCTCAAAACATGTAAATTATTGTCTAGAGTTGTAATGGCACGATTTTTTAGAGAAAATTTGTGGATAACAGAGGCATGGACAATCGAGGCACTAGTATAGCCCAAATTTCCTGGTACAAACAGTAGTGAAGTTAGGTTAGGCACACCTGGCTCTTGAGTTCTTAGGTTGGCTCCTAGATCTGAAATATCTGTCAATGTCTCCATTAGATACAAAGAAACTCAGTCTTGTAGCACCAAACAAACCAACTGAAAGAGATACTAGATATCTAGAAATCAATTTGCTGAAAAAATTAAATAAAACTATAAAAAACCTTGTTGATGACTAACATGTAAAGTTCAAGATGTACAGTCTGAAGAGTAGCATCAAGAAAACCCTTACTGCTAAAGAGACTAGCTTTTGCAAAAGAACATATATCCTGGTCTCTCGAACAATGGCATGAGATGCCTTGGACAGATTAGTCTAAACTTCAACTGTTTAGGTCCAACCAGTATTTATGTGCTCACTGAAAAGTCAATTAAACATAGAAGGATGAGTTACTTGTGTCAACAGTCAAACATGCAGGAGGCTCTGTAGTGGCTTGAGGTGCAATATCTGTAAATTGGTATTGATCATCTTCATAGAATTTATGGAATTGTGGATCAACATGAGTACCACAGCATATTAATCCATCATGCCATACCCTCTGGAAAGAAGCCAATTGGGCAAAATTTCTTAATTCCAGAAGGTAATGACCCCCAAATGCACTTCCAAGAAATGTTGTGTTTATTTGGTAAAGAAAGAAAACTCTGGAGATCTTCAGTGACTTGAATGACTCCTGCAAAGTCCAGACCTTTTAATCCCATAGAACAAAGTACCTCCTGTAATAAAAAATGAATATGGACACAGCTTCAAGAAAAATACTCAAGTTACACCAGAGACTTTGAGAAAATACATAAAAGCAATTCCATAAAGATTTCAGGCTTTTGTTGATACCAAGTGCCCACAATAAATAATAGCTAGTATTACAGAATTTTAAAGACATTATTTGTGTACTAATTTTGTAATAGTTCCTGTAACATTAGTTTCCAATAATTACAAGTTAATTTCTGTAGTAAATCAATAACTGTTTTTCTTGTAAGGTACATGTGTGTACTTTTCTAACATAATTTTCTTCAAGGAATTTCTAAAGTTTGTATCCTTGATTGGAAAACATTTTAGGTATTTGTATTTCAGTTGTGCATGCCCATTAATACATTGCAGTGTAAAAATGTGGAAGTCCTCCCTCAATAACTGAATAAAGATCTACACAATTATAACAAACTAAAATGTGCTTGAAACCTACTTATCAAGTACAGGGGAAACCTGCACACATCAGTTATACAAGGGGACTAATCTTCACATTCAAAACTTCCAATTTTTCAAATTCTGAACATATTTCACTTCATATAAAGCCTCCTGCTTTTACATTCACTACTACTAGTACTGCAAAATGGAAAAATATAAATATAGTTTGAAGCTTTTAATAGTCTGAAAGAGAAACTTTTGGTCAGTTCTGATTTATTTAATGATGAGTTTGTTTTTCTGGCTAATTAACAGATTATAATTTTATTAACTAAGAATTGAAGTAAAATATTTCTTACATGGAGCACTTTATAATACAAAAATATTTTAATAAAATATAAATGTTATTAGGAAACCTGTTTTTATTTATTTACCTTGTACATTTTAGAAAACAGGTTCAAATAAGAATTCATCCATTCAACCTCAAACAATTCGATTCTTTCATATATCTTCTTTTTTATGTATGAAATATTGCCAACCAAAAAAGCTAAGACCTGACAATCCACTAATTATGAAAAATCTAAATGAAAGTTTAACTAATTTTCAGCTGAAAATGTTTTTATGTGTGTGTTTGTGTATACACTAACAATGTGGCAATTAAATGATAAACTTAGCATACATTTAAATTAACTAATCTTTGCAGAACATGGAGATTTTAGGAAGTCAATTAGTTGAACAAGTTAGTAATTTGTAATAGTAGAATGAAAGATACAAAACTCGAGGTGAAGCTGAAACAAAATTAAATATTTTATTTGTTAGAAAGGGTGATTGTACTGTATAGGATTATTGTGTTTTGATATGTTTAGTTGTAAGTAAAATTGTATTTAAATGTTAAGATAACTTGTATGATCATTAAGTTATGGATAAAATGTTAAAACCTAGATGAAACTTAAGAAACACTCCTTGATTTCTTTTGGGACAGAAATGAATCTGCACTCTCTCTAAGACAAAACTGAATCTCTCTGAAAACTACATTTTTAGTGCACATTCTCTCTGTAGCTGCATACTTGGAAAAATGGGTCACACGAATATGGAATTATCTCTTCACAATGTGATAGTCTTAAAATAAACTTCTATACCCAAAGTAAAATACAGTTCAGCTATTCCATGCAACAGTAGAAAACCTCTGACTTGAACCTGCAGCGGAATGTTTGTCACATGACCGCAACTAGATTTAGTATGTTCCAAATCTAAAAACTTGGCTAGGTACATTTCAAAATATGAAATATATGTTATGAAACAGTGAGCAATATGTATGTGTGTGTGTATATCCGAGATGTATTTATTTTCTTTATAAGTAAGTTTAACCACAGCTTGTATGTTTCGC